AGAATTCTAATGTTTATCAGACACTGTGCATCCTCTGTGATCTCTGTTCTGTTTTTAGCCTCCTAGAAGCTGTTGTCTCCTAAGCTGGTAGAATCTTGGCCTATACATAAAAAATTTAGGTTTCAGCCAAGAACTTAAGGGAATCCTTTGTACAGGTACCTGAGGGTCCTTTTATTTTAGCTTCTTCTTCTCCATTTCTTGCCCCACAAATTTCAGCTGCCTTAGCCTCCTTAAACTCGGAGCTTTCTTCATTCTGCTAGTAGAAGCTGCCGCCATTTGTTTGGGCTCCATTACTATGCATGGTTTGGAAACTGGCCCTAAAGAAAGTTGGAGTGAATGTATTAATTACCTCATCTTCTAGCCTTTTCTCAAGAATTTCATTCCTATGTTGTCTACTTTCCAAATATTGCAAGTAGTTGCTTTATATACCTTTTCCAGTTTTTTTTTTTTTTGTGGTCTGAGAAGTAAGTGCAATAATAGCTATACCATCACACCTGAAATAACAAGTCTGATAACAGGTTTCCATTATTTCTGTTTTACACTGCAGCCAAAACGAAGGTCAGGTGGGTTCATGAATGAGGAGAGATTAGAAATGTGGAGACTTAGAAGAGATCTGTGATCTTGGACGGATGGCTTTACTTATTTGAACTTTTTATTAGTCTTTGTCTGTAAGACAAGGGCAAATAATAGTTCTATGATCTATCTATTAGTTCCTGGCATTGGAAATGCTTGGGAAGATTTAAAAACACAGCACAGCCACCATATCCATACCTGTGGAGATTCTGATTCGAAAAGTATTGTTGGAACCCAGCATTTCTTTTTAATGAATATTCTAGGTAATTGTGATAACAAGCTAAGTTTGGGAAACACTGAATGGGATGCTCTCAAGTCTTTTCAGGTCTAAAATTTTATGAGTTTGTGGGTTTGACGCTAAAGAAAATAAGTAAATATCTTAGGGACTGAGACATAGGACAGACAATTTAAAAAAAAATTGTACTTTGAGTCCTGGGGTACATGTGCAGATGTTGCAGGATTGTTGCATAGGTACACACATGCCATGGTGTTTTGCTGTCTACATCCCCCTGTCACCTACATCAGGCATTTCTCCCAGTGTTATTCCTCCCCAACCTCCCCAATCCTGCTGTCCCTCCCCTGGTCCTCCATCCCCCAACATATCCCAGTGTGTGATGTTCCCCTCCCTGTGCCCATGTGTTCTCATTGTTCAACACCCACTTATAAGTGAGAACATGTGGTGTTTGATTTTCCATTCTTGTGTCAGTTTGCTGAGAATGATGGTTTCCAGATTTTTCCATGTCCCTGCAAAGAACATGAACTCATTCTTTTTTATGGCTGCATAGTATTCCACAGTGTATATGTGCCACATTTTCTTTATCCAGTCTATCCTTCATGGGCATTTGGATTGGTTACAAGCCTTTGCTATTGTAAATAGTGCTGCAGTGAACATACATATGCATGTGTCTTTATAATAGAATGATTTATAATCCTTTGGGTATATACCCAGCAATAGGATTGCTGGGTCAAATGGAATTTCTATGTCTAGATCCTTAAGGAATTGCCACACTGTCTTCCACAAAGATTGAACTAATTTATACTCCCATCAACAGTGTAAAACTGTTCCTATTTCTCCACATCCTTTCCAGCATCTATTGTCTCCAGATTTTTTAATGATCGCCATTCTAACTGATGTGAGATGGTATTTCAATATGGTTTTGATTTGCATTTTTCTAATGACCAGTGATGATGAGCATTTTTTCATATGTTTGTTGACCTCATATATGTCTTCTTTTGAAAAGTATCTGTTCATATCCTTTGTCCACTTTTGAATGGGTTTGTTTGTTTGTTCTTTTCTTGTAAATCTGTTTTAGTTCTTTGTAGATTCTGGATATTAGCCCTTTGTCAGATGGGTAGATTGCAAAAATTTTTTCCCATTCTGTTGGTTGCTGGTTCACTCTAATGATTGTTTCTTTTGCTGTATGGAAGCTCTGGAGTTTAATTAGATCCCATTTGTCTATTTTGCCTTTGTTGCCATTGCTTTTGGTGTTTTAGTCATGAAGTCCTTTCTTCTGCCTATGTCCTGAATGGTTTTGCCTAGGTGATCTTCAGCAATTTTATGGTGTTAGGTCTTATGTTTAAGTCTTTAATCCATCTGGTGTTAATTTTAGTGTAAGGTGTCAGGAAGGGGTCCAGTTTCTGCTTTCTGCACATGGCTAGTCAGTTTTCCCAACACCATTTATTAAACAGGGAATCCTTTCCCCATTGCTTGTTTTTGTCAGGTTTGTCAAAGATCAGATGGTTGTAGATGTGTGGCATTGCTTCTGAGGCCTCTGTTCTGTTCCACTGGTCTATATCTCTGTTTTGGTACCAGTTCCATGCTGTTTTCATTACTGTTGCCTTATAGTATAGTTTGAAGTCAGGTAGCATGATGCCTCCATCTTTGTTCTTTTTGCTTAGTATTGACTTAGCTATATGGGCTCCTCTCTTTTGGTTCTATAGGAAGTTTAAAGTATTTTTTTCCAATTCTGTGAAGAAGGTCAATGGTAGCTTGATGGGGATAGTGTTGAATCTATAAATTACTTTGGGCAGTATGGCCAATTTCACGATATTGATTCTTGCTAACCATGAGCATAGAATGTTTTTCCATCTGTTTGTGTCCTCTCTCATTTCCTTGAGCAGTGGTTTGTAGTTCTCCTTGTAGAGGTCCTTTACATCCTTTGTTAGTTGTATTCCTAGGTAGTTTTTTCTCTTGGTAGCAATTGTGAATGGGAGTTTGCTCTTGATTTGGCTCTCGGTTTGTCTGTTATTGGTGTATAGGAATGCTTTTGGTTTCTGCACAGGATAGACAATTTGAATCCAGGCAGAGATTGAAGGTGTGGAGTAAAATACAAATGCAAACCAAAGAGGAAGAACAAATGTGGATGTGTTCCTGCAATGGGAATCTGATCTACTAGGATTCAGTTTGAGGGCACTGAACAGATGGAAAGCCAGTTGGGAGAAATGCTCAAAGAAAAGTGGGTGGAAGGCAGGGACAGCCAATGGGAATTTTGACTAGTTATTAATTTAGAGAAAGGCTAGTCTTGGCAGACATTGAGAGCAGTTACCTGATAGGGATTCTTATTACCATTAAACATATACTCTGTAAGAGGACAGGGGAGGGAAATGGGAGAAGTCTTTTCTTGTCTGAGCTGAGAATAGTGCAATTAATTCCTGAGATGAATGGAATATGAGTAAATTATTGAATATCTTATTCTAAATTACAACAGCCCTTTGTGCTAACCTTTCCAAGCTCCCATTGCTTCCTTTTAAAAATTAAATTTATTGAGTATTTACTTGTTATTTTCCAAGAGACTGTCAGATCCAAGAAGGCAAGGGCTCTGTATTACAGTTTTCAGTAGCTGTCCTTGGGAGGTAGTTCAGTCTAATAGCCACATAAGGGGCTTGGAGTCAGACAGACCTAAGTATACCAGTAGAACCTGAAACATCTTGCCTCTGTGAGTAACTTACCTGTAAAATAGGTATTGTGAGACATAAATAAAGATATGTTTGTATATATGTACTTTGGATCTTGGCAGCCAGGAATAAGGGTACCATGTTAGGTACATTATTGGATATTCAAGAAATGGTAATGATAAGCATTTTCTCACAATGATTTTCTCTTAATAGTACTGGATACATGTTAACTGAAAGCCATTAAGCAATTCCAAGAGGTAAACAAACATTTCTTCTTCCTTAGGGAAAGTAATCCCTGAAGAAGTGGTCTTGAGGGAGTCTCTATCTTAATAATCAGTTCACTGAAGTCAGTAATCCAGAATAAAACTCTTTAGTCTTTTGTTATTCACTAGTCAGGAAAAGGCTTTGGAAGCCTTTTTAGAAGCTGGAGAGGCCTTTGGGCAAATGAACAATTGGAAGTCATGTTCTTCAGTGCAGAAAGTGCTTTGAGATATATTGGAGGTTCTGATCCTTTGACCTGTACTGGGAAGAGAGAGAGGGCTCTGAGCTCAAAGCTGTCATTCTCTCTTCACTAGGGTCATCTTCCTCCTCAGAATGTGAACAAGAGGCAATAGGGTATAGCATTTACTGCGCTAAAGGGAAGGAAGGTGAGTGCCTGCCCTGATGCTGGTCATTTATGTAACATAATGATTTCAAGTGCAAACCTTTTGAGCTATGCTGCCGAAATTCACCTTCTGACTGCAACTCAGTGGTTTGGGGACTTTTGGCTAGTTATGTCATCTTACTTGTTTCATCTGTAAAATCAAGATAATAATATTGCTACATGGCTCTTCAAACAGAGCCTCTTGTAGCAACTACTCAATAAGTGTTAGCTTTTATTATTTTTTTTCTTTTTGAGACAGGGTATCGCTCTGCCATCAGCAGAGCCTGGATTCTCCTGCTTCAGCCTCCCGAGTAGCTGGGATTACAGGCACCTGCCACCCGCCGGTCTAATTTTTGTGTTTTTGGTAGAGACAGGGTTTTGCCATGTTGCTCAAGCTGGTATTGAATTCCTTGGCTCAAGTGATCTGACTGCCTCGGCCTCCCAAAGTGCTGGGATTACAGGCATGAGCCAACGTGCCTGGCCATACGCGTCAACTTAAAAAAATTATTAAATGTATAGCCACTTGAGCTAAGAGATCTTGGAAAAGTATGACTTCACTTTCTTGATCTGATAGTGCAGTCCCAGAGGTAGAAGCTCTGAGCACAGCCACTGTGGCTTCTGCATCTCAGGACTCCCTTCAGGGAAGAGGTCCAGGTTTTACCAACTGAAGCAGAGATAGGAGAGGGAAAGATATAGAAAAGGGACTGACTTAATGATCTAAAAGACATTCAGCTTATTTTTGGTACCCCTTTCATCAGCAGAACCAGCTCTTATTCTGCAGTTAAAATGTAGTCCCATATTACACTTTGGAAGTTACAGTTGCTTGGACTCTGAAGATTGACCCTTAGTGAATGGTAAAAACCTTCTACCAAAGTTCAAATCTCTCTCCTAGAATTCCCTTTCCAAGTATGGGAGAGAGAGACTAGGAATATGGTGATGATGTCTCTTTCTAAGTGGCCCTCTTCTCTTGTCCCCTCAGACTTCTCCTGCCGGACAAAGGAGAATGGTAGCCAAAAACTCTTCTGTGACAGAGTTTATCCTCGAAGGCTTAACCGACCAGCCGGGACTCCGGATCCCCCTCTTCTTCCTGTTTCTGGGTTTCTACATGGTCACCATGGTGGGGAACCTGGGCTTAATAACCCTAATTGGGCTGAATGCTCATTTGCACACTCCCATGTACTTCTTCCTCTTTAATCTCTCTTTAATAGATTTCTGTTACTCCGCTACCATCACTCCCAAAATGCTGATGAGTTTTGTCTCAAGGAAGAATATAATTTCCTTTACAGGGTGTATGACTCAGCTCTTTTTCTTCTGCTTCTTTGTCGTCTCTGAATCCTTCATCCTGTCAGCAATGGCGTATGACCGCTATGTGGCCGTCTGTAACCCACTGTTGTACACAATCACCATGTCTCCCCAGGTGTGTTTGCTCCTTTTGTTGGGTGCCTATGGGATGGGGTTTGCTGGGGCCATGGCCCACACAGGAAGCATAATGAACCTGACCTTCTGTGCTGACAACCTTGTCAATCATTTCATGTGTGATATCCTTCCTCTCCTTGAGCTCTCCTGCAACAGCTCTTACGTGAATGAGTTGGTGGTCTTTATTGTTGTGGCTTTTGATATTGGAATGCCCATTGTCACCATCTTTATTTCTTATGCTCTCATCCTCTCCAGCATTCTTCACATCAGTTCTACAGAGGGCAGGTCCAAAGCCTTTAGTACTTGCAGTTCCCACATAATTGTAGTTTCTCTATTCTTTGGTTCTGGGGCTTTCACGTATCTCAAACCCGCTTCCATCCTGCCCCTTGAGCAAGGGAAAGTGTCCTCCCTTTTCTATACCATCATAGTCTCCATGTTAAATCCACTAATCTATAGCTTGAGGAACAAGGATGTCAAAGTTGCCCTGAGGAGAATTTTGGGCAAAAAAGATATTTTCTTCAGAAAGGAGTAGTATTTGAGAAAGGAGATATAATGCTTTCCTTATTAGTGTGTGTTTTCAATGAGATTCAAATTCCATTTTTTTCCCTGTCTTGTACAGAAAGAGAATTTTAAATTTTTACATTTGGATGAGTGTTTAGTGCAGACGTATTCTCCCTGTCTCTGCTCTACCTCAGCTATTCCAAGATTTCTTAATTTTATGCAAATTTTTCTATAATCATAGATCACTTAATTGTGAATTGGCCTTATACATTATTTAGTCTAGCCTCCTCAATTAACAAGTGTTGGAGACTCAGAAATATATAAGTTGCTCAAGGATACACAACCACTTGGTGCAACAACTGGGACTGGAATCCAGGTCCTTGAATTCCAATCTGCTTTGTTTTTCTTTATGGCATTTTTTCATGCCTCATTGCTGCCCTTGTAGATTTCCTTTTAGAAGTATGAAAACTTAACACGTTAAAAATAATTCCGTTCCTAGTAATTTAATGTAACTCTTCAATAAATAATTTTTATATATTTCATTTTTTAAGAGGATAGAAGATGAAACATTTTCTGAAATTGGTCTTGGCTAAATGAGAAGAGAATATGTTAAGATTGTAGTATGTGAGTGACATTAAAATTGAGGTTGTGTGAAACCCTAGGAACCCAGTCTAGGGAATTAGGACTTCCATAGGATTAAGGGTTATCAAGATGCTGTGTAGAAAATCATATATTCATTTGAAGACTAAAAGAATCAGAATGTAGAGCTTTTTCAAGGGTTAGTTTGGGTGTTTGAGCCATAATGGAGAAATTGATGGTTTAGGATAAACAACTAAGGATTTGAAAGTTTTAGAGATGCAGTAAATAATGTTGGGAATCTAGTTAGCTATTAAAACAGCACTAAGCAGCTGATTATTAGAAGAGGCAATTTCCATTGAATTTTAAGATACTGCAGACAGCACTCATATAAGCATATGTGGTAAAAGATAATTCATCCAAGACTGGGTTATAAACCTACAACATATAATGATAGTTACATAGCACATCAGATCAATTTGATCATAATCTAAATAATTTATTAGTAGCAAAAGAAGGTTCTTTGGATTAGCATTAATATGTTAAGTGCTGGGGAGCCACTTTGATTTATGAGCCTTTGCTTGGGAACATTTTCATTTTTGAGAAAAAGGGAAGTTTAGATGAGGATGTAGTTTTGTTCTTTGGTGTGACACAAAGGGCTTGAAGTCACAAGACTGTGCATGTGTGTGTGTGTGTGTGTGTGTGCGCGCACACGCGTGCGTGTGTGTATGGTGGGGAATATTTTTCTTTAGTCAGCATGGAATAGGAAAGAGAAGTGAGTTCAGGAGACTTGTGGGTGGGCGTCTGGTGGGTGAGGTGAATAGGCTATTTGAGGTAGGGAGCAGATGAAAACAGCGATTCGTGAGGCACATGATGAAGCTGGTTTTGTATCCTGGCTCAGTTGCTTAGTAATTGTGTGACTTTGGGCAAGTTACTTGATGTCTCTAAATATTATTTTTTTTATTTTTAAAAGTGAGACAATGATTCTGATTTCATGGGGTCTTTGAAGAATTAAATGCAAGGCACTTACTACCTTTTAGTTATCACCCTGCAATCGTTATTTTAAGTAATTATCAGCATTTCCTTGAGTTTTTCCATGAACTGAGGCAAATCACATCATTTTCCTGGAACTCTGCTTAGTCATGAGAAAAATGAACTCTATCATTTAAAAAGTCATATATTTTGACTAAGTAATACTTGCATATGGTACAACACTAAACAATCTAAATGGGGGATTATACAGTGAGAATATGTCTTCCTCCTATCTTGTCATTCCATTTCTAAAATCACCTTCCTAGAAACAATTGTTTTTGCTGATTTATTATGAATCTTCTTATATTTGAATCTATCTATCTATCTACCTATCTATCCCATATATCCATCTGCCTATCTATTCATCCACCTATCTTGTTTTAAAGTTGTATAAAAATGAATTTTCCAATGGAAACAGCTTAGAAGAGGTTGGGATAAGAGAACAATGCAAGGGTAAAAAGAAGAGGAGCCAATCACAGAAGAGGGTTGGGAAGGGATGTGGCCAAGGAAGGAGAAAAAGAACAGAGGCGCCCTTGGCCCTGGATGCATCACTGCGGGACCCAACCCTGCAGCCATAGGGTAACATTTTGGTTCCCTGATCTTCTGTCCTCACCTCATGGTTGCACCACCCCCATCACTAGTTGGCTGATGTTGTGGTGGGGTCAGAGGCTCTGATAGTTAAGAGTATCAGGATCGCAAGTATTTTTAATTCAGCAAAAAGTTCTGTATGTGTTCATCTATTTTAACTAATGAGGTTCATGGTTTTTCTTTTTCTGATTCTTGGAGTAACTCATATATTATTGTTGAAAATTTGGAATGTGAAATATGTATGAAGAAAATGATTACCTATACCTCAATGTGGTAGTTTGCATTATTGGTCAAAATTCATCATTCATATGATAGTATTTATAACCATTCCCTTGCTGTGGTCTTATAAAGGTAAGGTATATTTCCTTGCCCAGGACTGTTGGCTTGGCCCAGTGACCCATTTTGGCTAATAGGATATTAGCAGATGTGTTGTTAGTAGGAGCTTGGAATATCTTTGCATGGCATTTGCCCTCTTGCACTTCTGCCATTGCCTTGAGAAGAGTCCCTCCTGGGTAACTGCTGCTGCTCCCAACTAATTCTCAGCATGAACACAGTAAGAGCAGTGTTCACTGTGCCGAGCAAGCAGAGAAGCCCAGCTGAGCCCAGACAAGATGAGCCACCACAATCAATTTGTAGACATGCGAGAAACAAATATTCCTTGTTGTATGGCAATGAGATTGTGTTTGGTTGTTATATAACAATAGCTAACTGGTCTACTCCACCATTCAGAGAACAGGGAAGGTGAATATCATCTGGAATATGAAAATGTCTTCCAGTGGGATCATCCTCTATGTACTGTGTTACCAAATGTTGTTTAACTTATTATTGTAATGTGATCTTTACTCCTTATCAACAGTTTTTTAAAATTATAATCTTCCATGGATTTAATCATGCAGCATTGTCATATTTTATTTCAGCTTTTTCCTAAATATTGATACTTTGTCAGTCTCCCCAACATTTAATTGGTATAAATAATACCATAACTATAACTTTTAGGTTAAAACTTTTTGAAAAATTAAGCAATCTCTTACTGAGAGAATGTGTTAAAATTTTTATCTAGATTTGTAATTTTTTCAGGAGACATTCCTGTTGTGTCTTTTTTATTTTTCTATTCAGAATATTTTCCAATTTCCCCTGTGATTTCTTCTACCTTGACCCATGTGTTGTTTAGAAATGCGTTGTTTAATCATTCTTTTCTCAAACATATTTTGGCTAATGTATCAGTGTGAACAGGTGAACCAGAACTTCAACTCTCTCTCTACTCTGTGTTTTGGTCACCCTAACTGGGATGAATTCCCACTGCCACACCTCCATATACTTTTATCTTTAGCTTTTCCTTCATAGGTTTCTTCTAGTCCTCTGTCATTTCTCCCCAAATGATGATAAACTTTGTGACGGAAAAGAACATCATCACCAATGTGACATCGGACATTCAGCCTTTTTCTTTGGCTTCTTTGTCATTCGTGATTACTCCACATTTATTCAACTGACCTTGGATTGCTATGAGGCCATGACCCTGCAGGTCTGTTTCATAAGTTTCATTGCTTTAGGTCGTTCATAAGTTATAGGATTTGCTGATGTTGTGGTCCATCAGGGGACATGGACCAACTCCTCTTTTGTGATCACAGTTGCATAAACCTTAACTTGTGTAACGTAAGCCCATTGCAGGCTGCTGGAATCAGTTCCTTTGTCTGAAGCAGGTGGATTTGTATTCATAAGAACCAGCATTGTTACAATTTTCATATTTTGTTTTTGTTCTTTTTATCATTCTTCATTAACGAAGTGGTCCAAATCTTCAGCCAGATTCCATAAATCTGTTTAGTTCTTTCTTTGGATTAGGGACTTTCACTTACCTCAAATCTGCAGGAGCTAATGGGTTAGTGTAAATTACACAGCCTCCTTCACCAAGATGGGGCCAGTGACGAACTGCCTGTTCAACGTCTTGAAGAACAAGACTATCTAATTTGCTGCAATGAAACCTCTGCCATTTTCCTCTTGATTTTGAGCAGTGACGGTTACTAGGACTCTTTTTGAATGCTTTCCAAAAAGTATTTGTCCTCTTAACAATTTCCTTGTAGTGCAGGCCATATTTAACCTATCTACCAATGGCTAGAATCATACAGTCTTGGGCTAGTTTAATTATGTTACACTGGCAATGGAATATCACATACACAACCACAGCTCATTGCAAAAAGACATTGTCTTTGTCTTTGCTTTTGTGAACTCTGCATGGCCCTGGTTTCTACATAACATTTGTTTTGGAAGCCAAGACCTATGCAGAGCATCTGATTGGCTGAGATGGGGTGGTGTGGTTGAGCTGTAGATTCTAGGAGTCTGAGAGCTAGTGTCTGGTCATACTAATGGGGGGATTTCAACTAAGATTCACGCAAGGGCAGATTCCCCAGTGAGAACAGGGATCTGACACTGAGAAGCCAAATATCACTCGATCTTAGCAGAAAGGCAGAGAGGCAATGAGAAGCCAGATAGTAACTGCACTTCCTTATCCTTCAGCTGTCTGAATTTTGCTTCTTCAGAGAGGCTGTCCCTTACCTTAGAAAGACAGTTCAGTTTCCCCAGTCAATGAGTCCATAAGACTCTCAACTTACCTTTTGAGCACTTAGCCCACTTCTAATTAGTTACAAATAATGACATCTTTCTAATAGATTTTTGGCTTGAGATTTTACATGTGATATAGAGGTAGTGTAAATTCCAGGTCTATGCACATATGAGTGCTAGTGTGGTAAGGAATTATTAGAGCAGGGGCTTCTCCTTACTCTCTGTTTTCCTTTTCTGTCCAGAATCAAGGTTAATACCAGCCTGTATCCTCACCATCTCCCTGAGGGGGCACTTCTTTTC